ACTCTTTCCTGCCTATGCAGGGGGTCGGACTCGATGATCTATTGAGGTCCCTTCCGACCCTAGCATCTATGAACCTATGAATCTATGGTGGCCACGTGACATGGGCAGCCAGTGCATTTGTCATGAGAACCATAGGTGCTGACATAAAGGGGACTCGGGGGTTGGGCTGGCTTATACTCTGGACTTCACCTTGCGGCACATTTGCCAAAAGGGCTGACTATCACTGTTCTGGATCTAGTGTAGATCAACTGAATCTTTGTTGATGCTGAATGACCAAGTTTTTAACTTTTTTTTCCTTTTTAGGCAATACAACTTGCTTTCAGAAACCCCCATGTGACACAATGTCAGTCATAAAACCACTCCCCAATCAAGAAGTGGCTTCACCACCATCTGATTCTCCATCTCTTGTAAGGAGAGTAATGAGAAATGATGACACCAGCACTGTAGTCAGAGAAGAGAGTCCATGGGTTTATTATAGCAAACCTGTCACACTGGTTGTTATCGGAGGACTCGTCTTCTTCAGTGGTGTTGTCCTTGCTGCACTGCACTTCACTAAACATGAAGTCCCATATGCTCTTGGGCCTGTATGTCTTTCTGCCGGGCTCATGTTTGTAGTCATGGGAGCGGTGTGGATTCCAATCATCAGACGGACAGTCAGATGCAAGGGCCTCCTGAGAAGGCAGGCACGAAAAGCTGCAGCTGCAAGCGGTTCCTGTGCCTGAGGACCTGTGCTATTTGCCCTTTGTTAAGGGTGTCAAATGGGTTAAACTTTTTGGCACTGCAGCAGTTTGTAGAAAAGGCAAAGATGTGTCCACAGAATTGAAATACATATCAAACCAATGCAATCTTTTCATGCTGGTTCTACAATCAATGGTTTTAGGGGGTTTTTTTGTTGTGTTTTTTTGGGGGGAGGGGGTGTTTGTTCCTACTCCTGTATTGAAAAATAAAGATTCCAGTCCAGCCGTAGGTACGTGTGCGTGTCCAACCCCGTCTGGCTGCCGTATTTTCTGAATTACTGGGACCATCCTCTTTAACCCAGCTTGCTTTTGTGCACATGCCGTATTTTGTCCCTTCCACGTGTAGCTGAAGCCCACTGACCATCTCTCAGACGTCCCTGACCAAGCACGTCGCTGCTCCCGTGCCGTCCCGCTTCAGGCCCGCGTGGGGCGGCAAGAGCGCGCTGTTGCTCGCCCGGCACAGCCCCGGGACGGGCTGCCCAGGCTCTGCGCCGGCAGCAGGGCCAGGAGGAGACGCTGCCCCCGCACGTGGGCGAGGCCTCGGGCGCGTGTGCAGCGGTGCCCGGGGCTGGAGAGGCCGGGGCCGGGCTCGGGGTGAAG